GAATTGTAACAACAGTGTAAGAGTGACTAAAACCTGTTACTTCAAGTAACATGCCATAATGTCAGTCCATGTCTACGTCCTTTGAACATCTTCATTCAGGATGGCAACAGGTAAGTTTAGAGAGAGATTCTGAAGTTAGGGAGTAGGAAGGAATTTTACCTCCTGTTTCCTTGGCAGGTTTCACATGTGGGATAGAGGCACTCACAAGATAAATTGTCCATGAGTGTGAAGGGGACTAATTTGGGCTGTGGGAGGATTAAAAGGGTGGGAGGAGTCCATTATAGGGCAGAAAGAAGATAAACTGAGGATGGGGTGCAACTGATTGACCACCTTCCATGCTGTGTGTATTTGGGTTCTTTGGAAATTGTGTCAGTGTTTTCTACTTTGGCCTGTTTTTCTCCAGTGATGTCATTTTCAGTCTGCCCGAAATGTGCTGCTATTGGAGACTAATTCATTTCCAGGTTTACCAGTCAGCATTTGTTCTTGCGGTGGCCACTTTGAACTGAGTGTTTTGGAAAGTAATCTCGTTACAACTGAATTCTGTGCTCTGAAAAATGTCATAAATTAATTTGAAAAGGCGTCAGTCTTTGCTGTGAAGCCAGGCTTCGAAGCAGAGTGTAATCCCAACCGGGCTTACGATGAGTCGCAATTTGGCCTGTTTTTGTAAAACAAAAGATCTCTGTGTAGCTGGAGGCTTAACGCAAACACTCCCACTCCCACTCACAACTGTTACTGTCAATTTTCATTTGGAGGCAGTCTTGTCCATTTCCCACTCAGTTCCCATATCGGCCAAGACTTGTGATTCATGCCTGGGTGAGCAGCTAACCTAACCCACACAGGCTAATTCCACACTGAGGTCTGTCTCTAAATATTTTCACACACTCGATTAGTGTGCACATGGACACATTTGTGATGCACTTGACATTACCTCACCTCTGACCCTCAGAAATCAATGCTCTGCATGTTTGTTCTTAGGACAGGGGTCACACTAGCAAGGCTGTACTTATTGCCTATTTTTACTTACCCTGAGGGTCAGCCAGGTTGTTGTGGGACTCACAGACATGTCAGGGCAGCAGGTTCCATCCTCCAAAGGACCAGTTGGGTTTTTATGACGATCCAAGGGCCTTCACGGTTATTTTACTTTGTTCCACCTTTACTGAATGCAATTGCTGTTGTGGGATTTGAACTCTCAGCCTCTAGTTTACTTCATTTCATATTATTGTGTGAAGAATTCATGTGTGTGGGCATGTGTGCTGGTTAAGCATTTACCGGGCTGTGTCTAGGTCAAGGGTTTCACATGTGTCTGTAGTGGTGTATCCACCAGTACCACTGTGGCTCCTTACATCTCTGCCTACCTTTAAAGGCCCCCCACGATCATGTCCTTTTAACATGCTGCAGCAACAATCAGAGATATTAGAGTCACGGGCCATGGAGTCGTGTCACTGGGCCAGGGGAAAGGAAGGATTCCTGTTCCGTACCACTATCCCAGACTCTGGATGGATGTCTTAACCTGCACCAGAGGGCAGCAATGCATCCAGGTTAGCTGTGATTCCATTCAAGGTGGAATAGCTAGATCAGTACTGAGCTGCACAACTGCAAGGCGAATGCTGGGGTGAAATAGAGTCAGAGTCATACAGCATAGAAATAGGCCCTTTGGCCCACCATGTCTATGCTAACCAACATACACCAAATTACACAATGGGCAGCACAGTATCTCAGTGGTTAGTATTGCTGCCTCACAGCACCAGGGACTCGGGTTCGATTTCACCCTCGGCGACTGTCCGTGTGGAGTTTGCACATTCTCCCCGTGTCTGGATGGGTTTCCTCTGAGTGCTCCGGTCTCCCCCACAGTCCAAAGATGTGCATGTGAGGTAGATTATAGAGTCATAGAGCTGTACAGCATAGAAACAGACCCTTCAGCCCAACTCGTCCATGCCAACCAGGTATCCTAAATTAATCCAGTCCCATTTACCAGCATTTGGCCCATATCCCTCTAAACCCTTCCTTTTCATATACCCATCCAGATGCCTTTTAGATGTTGTAATTGTACCAGCTTCCATCACTTCCTCTGGCAGCTCATTCCATACACGCACCACCCTCTGCATGAAAAAGTTGCCCTTTAGGTCCCTTTTAAATCTTTCCTGTCTCACATTAAACATATACCTTCTAGTTTTGGACTCCCCCACCCCAGGGAAAAGACCTTGGCTATTCACCTTATCCATGCCCTTCATGATTTTATAAACCTCTATAAGGTCACCCCACCAGCCTCTGACACTCCAGGGAAAATAGCCCCAGCCTTTTCAGCCACCCCCTGTAGCTCAAACCCTCCAACCCTGGCAACATCCTGTAAATCTGAATTCTTTTAAATTTCACAACATCCTTCCTATAGCAGGGAGACCAGAACTGCAAGCAGTATTCCAAAAGTGGTCTAACCAATGTTCTGTACAGCTGCAACATGATCTCCCAACTCCTATACTCAATGCACTATCCAATAAAGAGAAGCACACCGAACGCCTTCTCCACTGTCCTGTCTACCAAGGTCTCCACTTTCAGGGAACTATGAATCTGCACTCCAAGGTCTCTTTGTTCAGCGACGCTCCACAGGATCTTACCATTAAGTGTAGGCCATGTTAAATTTCCCATAGTGTCCTGGCGTGTGCAGGCTGGGTGGGTTAGCCATGGAAAATGCAGGGTTACTGGGATAGGGTAAGGGGTGGGTTCTGGGTGGGGTGCTCTTCGGAGGGTGTGGACCCAGTGGGCTGAATGGCCTCCTTGCACATTGTAGGGATTCTATGATACACTAATCCCACTTAGCTGCACTCAATCACAGCCTACTATACCCTGCTCGTCCGGATGCTTCTTAAATGTTGTGAGAGGACCTGCCTCCACCACCCTCGCAGGCAGCACATTCCCTATATTTCACTATCCTCTGGGTGACAAATGTTTCCTCAGATCCCATCTAAACAACATACTCCTCACCTTAAATTCATGCCCTCTGGTCTTAGGCATGTCTGCCATTGGGAAAGATTTTCACGATCTACCCTATGTATGCCTTTTATAATTTTGTATACCTCAATCAAATCCCCCCTCAGCCTCCTTTGCTCCAGGGAAAATAAACCCAGTCTATCCAGTCTCTCCTCATAACTGAGGCTTTCCATCCCAGGTTATAATCCTGGTGAATCTCCCCTGCACCCTCTCCAGTGCAATCACCTCTTTCTGGCAGTGTGGCAACCAGAACTGCACAAAATTTTCCGTCTTCTGTAGCCTAACCAATGTTTTATGAAGTTGTAACAAGACTTCCTTAGTCCTATATTCCACATCCTGGCTAATGAAGACAGCATCCTGTATGCCTTCTTCAGCACCCTGTCTGCCTGTGCTGACACCTTTAGGGGTCTGTTGACTTGCCCACCAAGATCCCTTTGTTCCTCAGTACTGCCTAGGGACCTACCACTCACTGCGTATGTCCTTCCCTTATTAGACCTCCCAAAATGCATAACTCTACACTTATTAGGATTAAATTCCATCTGCCATTGCTCTGCCCAATTTACCAGCTGATCATTATCAGACTGTAGCCTGAGACCATCCTCATCACTATCAACAACACCACCTACTTTTTGTGTTTTCTGCAAACTAACTAATTACAGCCTCCACATTCACTTTTAAGTCATTAATATAAGTAACAAACAACAAAGGTCCCAGCTGTGATCCCTTGGATATGTTGCTGTTCACATGCTTGTAATCATGTAAACAATCCTCCACCATCACACTTTGCCTCTTATTTGCAAGCCAATTTTGGATCCAGCTTGCCAACTTGCCTTGAATCCCATGGGATCTGGCCTTTTGCACCGATCTTTCATGTGGGACTTGTCAAAGGCCTTACTGAAGTCCATATAAAAGCCTGTAATGAAGGAACTGTGCTCCTAGTGAGATCTGCTGTTTCAAAAGAGATGAGAAAATGAGAGGGAGAAAGATATGCTCAGCAGTTGGCTGTCTGGCTGCCTGATTCAACTATTTCAACAACCTAGACAATCTGTGACAGTCCAGAAGCAGTCACTTCACTAGGAGACTGGTCCAGGGCCCTGGAAAAAATCAGTTTCTCCTAGTTTATTTGGTAGAATTAGTAGGTGTGTAGAAAAGTGTACATAACATCAACAACTGACATTTATATAGTCCCTTTGACATAGAACAATCATCCCCCAAGCCACAGTTAGTTCAGCTGGCTAGGTAGTTAGCACATGGTTCAGAATAACGCAAACACTGAAGGTTTGATTCCCATTCCAGCTGAGGTGGGCATTGTCTCCTTGTCCAGCCCTTGAGACTGAAGGCAGTGGCAAACCCCATCTTTACTCAGAAAACAGATCAGGAGGAAGCACCAACAGACAACAAGCCAAAAAGTTGCCTTCAGCTAGAGCACATGAATGAATGAATGACTAAAATCTTAAATGAAGAGAGGATGAGGAAGACAATTCCAGAACGTAAAATCCAGGTCGGGGGAAGGGAGATGGAGAAAAGCAGAACTGGAGACACAGCTGCAAAGAAGAGAAGGCAAACAAGAGAATTGACTTTGCCTGTGATCAAGACAATGGCAGGGATTAGAAAGTAGTTACATCCAGGAAAAACATTTCAATTTCGAAATTCAGCATAACAGGACATATAGAATAAAGGGACTCTGCCACTTTCCCCTTGATGTTTGTTCTCTGGTTTCTTATTTTAAAAATGTACTGTCTGGAAGAGTTATTGCATTTGGTAATAGTGGTTGGGCAAGTTACTGTGTTTGGTAGTATTGTTTGGACAAAGTATTGTGTTTGGAAATGTTGATTGGATGTGATACTGATTGGATGAGTTACTGTGTTTGGTAAAATTGAATGAGTTATTGTGTTTGGTAATATTGATCGCAAGTATTATTGTGTTTGGAAATATTGATAGGAAGCATTCTTGTGTTTGGAAATATTGATAGAAAGCATTCTTGTGTTTGGTAATATTGATTCTCCCCTTTGCAGGTCTGGTTCAGTAATCGACGAGCGCGATGGCGTAAACAGGCTGGAGCCAATCAATTGGCAGCATTCAACCACCTGTTGCCAGGTGGCTTCCCACCCACTGGAATGCCAACCTTGCCCCCATACCAGTTGCCTGAGTCATCGTATCCAACAACTACCCTCTCCCAAGGTAAGAGCAATCTGCAGTCCAACATGACGGTTTGCCAAACAGATATGAGAGGCGCTTGTGGTGCACTGGCTGCCTTATTCAACCACTTCAACAGCCTAGACCATCAGGGACAGTCCAGAGACAGTCACTTCACTAGGAGACTGGTCTACGTCCCTGGAAAAGATCAGTTTCTCCTAGTTTATTTGGTAGAATTGAGATTCAATTGGTGAAGACATTGGGATTTAAAACGCACTGAGCATTTACTGCTGATGTGGAACTCCCCTCTTGTTATCAGACCCATTGTCTTGTTATCCCACTAATTTCACTGGAAGCATTACCGACTGATGGTGTCTACCGAACAGCTGTCAGAGCTTGTGGAACTGAATCCACAATGTGGGAATGAGGGGAGGGGAGAAGAATAGTTGGGAAGAGAGATGGGGGCAGTCAAAGGGGCACTGGTGAGGAGATAAAAGAAGGGGATGGAGAGGTGAAACTTAGACAGGGCATGGGAAGAGAAGGCAGAGGGTTGCAGAGTAGGAGAGAATGAGGAAGGGCAGGATTGTGGGAGAGGAAAAGCAATGCATCATGGGTATGATGTATCAGACTTGGCTGTGTGACTAAACACTTGTTGTATATGATTGGTCTCAGATGGAGGGAGCACTGTCCACAGACCACAGCCTCTCCCACCCTCATCTATGCACCAGAGTGGCCTGGCAGCAGCAGCAGAAAGTGGCTCATATGGTTTAACGTCCAATCGACACACCTTCTCCAGCTACCCCGACAGCTTCATGAACGCATCAGGACCCAACAACCCCATGAACCAGGTCAGCAATGGACTCTCTCCACAGGTCAGCCTTCACACAGTCACTATCCTGAACATCTGTTGGGGCAGCTAGTCATCATCAATCCCCTCCCACTGTGATTAAAACTCAACTCCTGTCCAATCAATCTATAAAAGCAGGGGTTTCAGGCCCATGACATAGGCAGCAGAGTCAATGTTCAGTACAAGCCCTTTCCTATCTTAATCCCTCCTGCATTTGAAGAAACTCAACCTATTAGTACAACCCAGACTTTGTAACAAGATAATGAGAGTCTGGCTTGCAAGCTCAATGGACAGCTTTGAGAATCTAACAGTCCACTCCAAAAACTCAACCAAATGACTGAATCCATTAATTAAATAAACTAATTGCCATAGTGCGGGAAAATGCCCAAAGAGTTTGTTATTTTTTGGGAAATGTATATTCCTCCTTTAAAGTTGAAAAGCTGAAAGAAGAGTTGATCCAAAGCAGGACATGATGGTTAACCAACAGCCAACCAGGCTTTAGGTCCTGGATGTTGAAACTAAGGGAAGACTATTAGATTGAAGGACATCATAGCATGAGATTGAAAGGTTCAGAGAGGAAAATGACAGTGTGTGTATTGATTACAGCGCAGTGGAGACTGCAGGGCCATTTAGACATTCAAAGGCACAAGAGAAGTAACATAAAGATTAGTGTCCTTTAGGGAAAGAAACTGCCATCCTTACCCATTTTGGCTTTTATGTGACTCCAGATCCACAGCAAACTAACTGCCCTCTGCAATTAGGGATGAGCATTAAATGCTGACCTTGCCAGTGATGCCCTCATCCTGTGAATAAATTAAAACAAAACATTGATTGATGAACAGAGTTAGAACACTTTCCTCCAATATAGAAGTGTGAGAGTCAGCACTGTCAGGAGGGCAGGGGGAGCTGTACCCCGGGGAGAGTCAGCACCTTCGGGAGAGGAGGGGGAGCTGTACCCCAGGGAGAGTCAGCACCTTCAGGAGAGGAGGGGGAGCTGTACC